CGTGTTGCGCATTACACTTTCGAAGCCTGCCCACATCTCCGCTCACAAACACTTTCACTGCGAGTGGTCCAAAATTTCCTAACTACTGGGCGTAGATGGCACATTTTCATAGTTGACAAAGGCAGGAGAAGAACAACAAGGATGATGTCTTTTCTATAAGACGCAGTAAATCTAAAGTGCAAACGTTCTCCCTCAATGTTTTTGTTGCGCACAATTTACACATAATATCACTAAATTGTGAGATACGCATTTATCCCTTTGAACATGATTACAGTAGTCTGAAAAGAGTTTTCTGTACACCGTCATTCAATCAATGAATTTTTCATAAAGACTTGATTAGCGACTGTTCAGTATCGCGTTGACTGTGATAAAACGTCCGTCGTTTTCATGAATACTTCCAAACTACTGAAATTTTTCCTGATCGCAAATTAGTACACATCTCGTACAAGTGCAGTCACACCACAGCATATTTTGAAAACTCTCTGCTTTTTGACAATGTATTTTTGAGCGTTTTATAAGGTCTTGTATAGGCATGTGCACTGTGTAACAGACGTGTTTCCGCCTTTCAGCCTCGCCAATTGTACGGTGCCTTTTGTCTGAAGCAGTCCATCTCGAGAGAGAGCCCCACTTACATAAAGGAATATCAACAAACATGTTACACTGCGCGCGTGCATGAAAAAAATTCACTTCACACGCGGCAGAAGTAACATATCACTGTACGTCCAGTGATATAATTACCGGACATTAATGTGATTAACAGTCGATTGCTCAAGTTTTTGTGATATTACCTTCATGTTCGACTATTTTTCAGGCCTCGCTCAAAGCAATCTAACTGACCATGTAGTTTTGAGCAGTCGCCTGTCAATCACTAAAATGTAAAGTCATAAGATCACTGGACATGTAATGACATGTTATCTCTGCAATGTATGAAGTGGAATTCTCATTTTACACTACCGCAATGTAACATGTTTGTCGACGATTCTTTTATGTAAAGGCGGTTCTCCATCAAAAGGGCTTGGCTCAGACGAAAGGCACTATGCAAGTGACGAGGCTGCAGGGCCGAAATACGTGTATTGCACTGCATAAATGCCTATTTAGGACCACATTAATGGATCAAGATTGCACTTCCATATTATATCGTTATGAACGAGATCTAAAAAACAGTCAAATATCAAGGTATCTACTTCTTGCTCGGGAAAATACGAATCTTGTAAGTCATCTAGGTACGAAAGGCGGTGAGTCCCTACACTAAATCTCACCTTCATCTCTAGAAAACACGAGATTTGTTCCCGTTTCCTTTCAAGCCTCCATTGATCGCACCAAGTTCCACCAATTGCACATTACGTGGTCTCATGACTAACCTCAGTACGCAATGTATTTTAGTCCAGTGAATATCAGAAAGATGGTTAAAGGTATGTCAGCGTGCAAAGGACAGTGTCAGCAGAAGGACACAGAGAGCATAGCAATGTATAGTCAGTATTCCTTATCATTCAAAAACAATAACAGTTTGCCGACCCTAGCAAAACAAAAGGGTCAATTGTAAGCCGATGTGGAAAGCATAGAATGAGTCAAGCAGACCTTGTTCACTCAAACAGAATTTTAATGAAAGGCTCAAATAGGAACTAGTCCTGAATCTCAGAAAAAGACTGCCTCCTTCGAATCTTTTCAATGTGACTGATCCAAACTAAATCAATCGCTGGTCTTGCAAGTTCTCATTAGCGACAGTAAGGCAAGCTACGTATCGTCGCAATCATGTACTTTATAGAATGTGCTATTTTATAACACAAATTTTTGCTTCTATGGCTCTGCTGCGAATGATCGATATGATATTTCATATTCAAGTATATATATTCATTCATACCATAGCATGAATATGCATGAGTATGTACATATACCGTTCATTACGTCAAATTTACTGTTTTTGGCATTTTTTGATAGTTATAGAGGCTCTGGATAACCAGGGCGTCCCTACTCGGTACATAATGATCCTTCGTGAGCTTTATAAAGATTTCACGACCAGAATATCTCCATTCTACAACAATATCACCATTGACGTAAGAAGAGGGGTTCGACAAGGCGATACAGTATCGCCAAAACTATTCACTGCCACCCTACAAAACGTCATGCGAACATTAGAATGGGACGAAATGGGAGTGAAAATTGGACGGTCGACAATCAAACCATCTTCGCTTTGCTGACGATATCGTTCTCATAACACCAAACATCAGCCAAGCGGAACGAATGTTGACTGATTTCGATAACGCCTGTGGAAAGATCGGTCTTCAACTGAATCTAACGAAAACAATGTTCATGAGGAACGGATGGGTTTCTAATGCCCCATTCACGCTCAACGGAACGACAATTTCCGAATGCTCCAGTTACATCTATCTAGGTCGTGAAATCAACATGATGAAACGACCTAGCTCCAGAGTTAAGCAGGAGGAAGCGAGCGGCTTGAGGAACGTTTAAGAGCATCGAAGATGTAGTGAAGAGGACAAAGAACATCCGACTCCGTGCCCACCTTTTCGACTCGACAATTATCCCTGCCCTAACGTATGCAGCAGAAACCTGGTCGCTACGTAAGCAGGATGGAAGATCACTTGCCGTTATCGAACGCGCAGTCGAAAGGTCGATGCTAGGAGTATCCCGTATTTCGCAAATGAGACAAAGGATCCGAACTTCCGATCTACGTCAACGATCGAAAATCAGAGGACGCCGTTCTACACGCCAGGATATCGAAAATAAGGTGGGCCGGACACGTGATGCGCTTCAACGACAACCGATGGACGAGAGCCGTTACCGACTGGATTCCTCGGGATGTCAAGCGCTCTAAAGGAAGACCACTGACCCGTTGGTCCGATTTCTTCACGAAAGCGATGGAAGAAAGATATGATGCTCAGCGAATTCCTAGAGCAAGGAGGACCCACTGAGCTTCTCTTGCACGCGATAGGGAAAAATGGAAGAGTTGCTGGTACCCGCTCGAGTCACTCGACGATCAACGGGACGACAGGTGATACAGGTGACGTCAAATTAGTAAGAAACATGCAGTGAAGTGGTTGATGAGAGTTTATTGATAGTTATTTGAAATCACGGTCCGATGGATCGTAGAAATTTTTCTTCTTATTTTCTAGGTGCACTTCCAAACTACTTGAATCTAGGCTTTTTATGCAATCGCACTTTAGAATGCGACCCATATCCAATTACAACACCACACTAACGAATTTTATTGAGTCATAAATTGCTCCCGTAAGGAGTTTATGAGACTTAGAATCTAACCTGTGCTCAGTAGAAAGTGTTTCTAACCTTTTGATTATGAATTTCATTCGCTTTTTGTATACCAGCTCTTGCACCTTCCAGTCGTTATACTATCGACAATTTCGCTTACAAATCCAGCCATTAGCTTACCTCGACTATTTTTGTGCCATCTTTAAGATATCCTCGCGGTGCTCGCTATTTAAAAATTAACGTTTCTCTCACATTACGTGAAAGGAAATGATTCTATATGAAATCCTTGCTTTCATATTTATTACACTCTTTGCGGTTCTGATCGAGATATATCTTCAAGGGTGTCATGAAATCCACCTATTATCAAGCCCCATATAGAGCATTGGGACTCTTCCCAAACACCATTCTCTTACACTTCCAGCATTCATCAGTACTGCATAATGTGGTAGAGTTTCTATGTATATGTCTCTTCCGTGTGATATATTCGATTTATGATATTTATCCCAATAGTCAAAACTTATATTTCATTGGTTAGAGCTGTTCTGCAACATTCATATGGCCTTTAGTACTATTAATCTAGATATGGGTATTAATAACAAGACTAACATAAAATCATACTGCTATTATTGATATCGATATTAATATTAGCACTGATATTGGTATTATTGTCAATATCAGTATTAATGTTATGATATTCAGTATTCAGAGCTCCAGATTCATCAAACCTCCATCTTCCAGACTGAATTTAGTACCAGACTTGTTTAGGAGAAATAGCAGTGTTGATTTGTTACATCGGAAGGCCAATGCAAGCCATTGTAAAGTCCAAATTCATATTAAATCCTCTTTAGCGATTCCTGACATAGCGATGTGCATGACACATCTCTTAGAGAATGATCTACGCAAGAGCTTTATCCCTTATACTTTATGCCACTCATCTCCTGAACTAGTTGGCTTGTCTACTGCAAAAATCTCACCTACCACGATGTACTTGCTTCGTCTTATATCTATTTGTGTTTCATAATATATCTGTTGTTATCATCATATTCTTTACCATAAAGGCTTGTATTCGGAAGTTCTAGTATTTTACTGCATCTTTTCGCAGTGTTATTATGTTTCTAATATACCTAAGAGGTTGAGTGATGAGCAAAACCACGGCCTCAGGCGAGAATCGAACCCGCGTTTCATCCTATCCGGGGACACGTGCTCTACCAGTACACCACCGACGCATATTTACGCCACCACTCATTATTTAACATCTCTATGTTAGTTGTGAGCCACCAACCTTGTAAAGGCTTGCTTCATAAAAGCAATAGAAAGGCTCAAACATGGTGGAGAAAACGGAAAAAGAGACGTGTTTATTCCATCTCCTCTTTGTATATCATAGTTATGAATATAGAATTCGAAAAACAGTTACGCAGTGATCTGAGGAAATGGAAATCTGAAGTGCACTAACAGTGAAAAAAATTGAGAATTACCAATGAAGTGGGATCGCATGCAATAAGCCGCACTGCTTTTGACGAAGTGTCCATTGTTTTCCGACTTTCAGCCAGTATGATGGTTTTGTTGTAGATAATCAAATAAAATATGTGAAGACTGAATGAAATAGAGGATAAGGTAGTCGAATTGTGAGTAAGTGAGGTAGAACAGACCCCAATAAGGTTATGCTTACCAGAAAATTGGTCAATTATTAAATATTCAATTTTAACCATGAACTAATCACTACTCTAACTATGTATTGACATACCTAATAATGTAGAGTGTTTTGCAAAGACATCTGCGTCAGCCGGGATTCAAACTCAGAACTCGCTCTTCCCAAAGCGTGTGCTGAACCGTTGCACCATCGACGCTCTTCTTCTTGTTGCTTCGACCGGTTTAGCACACACGCTTCCGAAAAGGGTGACATCTGGGTTCGAATCTCGGCTGACGTAAATGTTTTTGAACAGCACCCTACCTTGTTGGGTATGCCAGTACATAGTTAGAGTAAATGGTTAGTCTATGGTTAAAATCGCCTTTTCCATAATTGAATGATTTTTCTGATTAATATAACTTCATTTTAAGTTTACTGCCTCTCCTTTTCAGATGACTGGCATGATTCGTGTTCGTAAACAAAAAACACATAGATTGAAGAACATGTACTTTGATATGATCGCATCTGCACGAATTGTATGGGAAAAAGATTGGATTCAAATAGTCCAAGAGTATACACGGAAGCGGCATACCTGACAACGCTATCATTTGCGGTGCGATATTGAAGAGTTTCCAATAAAATTTTTTGGAAAACTCACCAAACATATTTAGACGACAATCTGCGCAGCACTAAATGCAGACTATTGTACACTTCTTCAAAGCCATAAGTTCGTATCTTCTAATTTTATGAGAATGTATGTCATATGTACAGAACAAAAACACTAAGCCAAATGGTTTGCACTTCAGATTTACAGCGTTTTTTCTATAGGGTGTCAAAAACCATATCTCAAGAACTAATTTCTATTTGAAGCTTTCACGAATATGGTATCTCTTCCTCGTGATCGGTAGCTGATGTTTTAGCGTCTCCGCCTTCCTCAGAGTCTAGACGCACTTTTGTAACGTGATTCGTATAAATATGTGAGCTTCTAATAGTACAAATGAAAATCTGTGGAATTTGTAAACGCCACTACATTCAAGGAACAGCACTTTCACCGTGTTATATGTAAGGACTACCTGTGTTCTGATAGCATATTATGAATCTGTCACGAGATCCATTTTGATACGCGTGTCTCAGCCTTCCACACTCATGTGGTCAGTTCCGTGGGAGATATCCCTTGTATATGGGAGCCGACACCAAACGTTTTAGACCAAACGTTGCTATGAAAGCACCAAACGGGCAAGGTTGCACACTCGATTGTTGTTGACTGAGAATCGTGGAATGTCATACTTTTTGTTTCGCGTGTTTTGCCGTGACAGATCTCATGAAGGCCTCAAAATATGCTATCAGGTTATACAATTTTGAGCAAGTTCTTAAAAAAACACTCGAACCTAAAGGAATGATATTTCACAATTACTGGCCAACAGCATCGAGTGTGCAAATCTGTCCGTTCGGTAATTTGAACATTTACCGGCGCATGTGAAACTTTCGGCATCGACTCCTATATGCGGAGTATCTTCTAGTGGAACTGAACAAACCAAAAGGTCCCGTGCGATCGACGGGCTGGAAGGCCGAAAACACGTGTAATGCACTGTATAAATGCCATGACAGATCTCATAAAAGGCTCAAGATAAGCTCTCAGATTGCATTGTTCGTCTCGATAAGACGTTCCCAAATCTCCGTCTTTTCCAGAACCTGAAACGTATTTTTGCAGCCCAATTCATATTAGTGTGCTGAGTGGTTATGATGCCGCTCGCGGCGCGCGTGTGTGAAGTCCTGCTCCACCCCCCACCTCTCTTCTGCATATTCTTAGTATTGTAAGGAGGCCCGCTCAGCCAGTATTCTAAATCGTTCAAGGAAAAGGAAAAAAACGGATTGAATTAGAGAAGTACTGGGATCCGCAAAGTGAAAAAAAAAACACTATGACGAAAAATCAAATAAAGTGGTGAAAGTGCTAAAAAGATTCATATTATTATGTGAATTGCTTATAATGCAAATGAAGATCCAGGATATTTATAAACGTCACTTGATTTAAGAGAAGCTACTTAGCGTGTAATGAGGTGTAAGAAGAACCTATGTTCTTCTTGTGGGATGACGTTCGAATCCGCTCTCATGCCAATAGGTTGTATCGGACATAGATGACCTGCAACTCAAATCCAGAAATCGATTCCAGATAAGGTTTCATATGACTGGCAGTGTTCACGCACTCTCCTTTCTTAACAGTTTCTAATGATTGAAATTTATTTGCGAAGCAATAGGGTTTTTGTGCCGTTGTTCTTGACTCTTTCTCTAAAATTTCAACTACCATTTCAAAGTCTTTACCCCTAAGTCTTGTCCATGTGTACCTTGAGGGATGTTTAAGTTACGTTTTAAGTTTCTCTGTAGTTGTACTTTTATACCAACATAGAATGGCCATCCTGTTTTGCTTTTACAATCATGGCCACATGTCTTTATGAGATAACGTATATTATACCTGCACTCATTCAACCCCCGTCTTTACCGATAGTTCACATGGGGCAGTCCTTTGCTTCACGTAGAAGGTCAAATACGTGGTTCTGAATCAGTTGACAATGTAATGTGTGTGATAGATTCCCTGCAATTCCTACGGAATCTTTTTAGAGCACTGTTCTCTAGATGTCTCTTGATATGGGCACTTGATTTGTTCATTACGAAGGGGAGGTTTGAAGGCATCCTACCATTTAGGTTTAGTATATTATTGTTCTCGCTTTGAGGCCTTTCACTCCCTTTTGACCTTACACTAATGACTACTCCTTCTAGCCATTTGAGATGGTTATTTGTCGTGCTAAGTGTAGTGACTCCTACCTTCTCCCCCTCTCTTGCAAACACTTGTAGCTGTTCGCTACATTTCTTAAACGATTCCTTTTTTTAAGAATTTATTAATTGCTTGGCTTTCGATACCATTTCGTGATGTAGCCACTTTTGGTGATGTTTATCCGAGCGTTCACTAATTGAAGCCACCTCTTTGATCTTGATATACTCTGACTGCCCATTCCGAAAATTGGGAAACATCTTCCACCTCTTCCTGCGCAGGGAAGATGACAAGATATCATCTGTGTAGACATTGGAATACTGGACTCCGACCGAGAACTGGGGCTTTCACCTTACATGATAGCAATGGTCAAGATTGGCGCTCCATCGCAAAAAGTTTTAGTCTTCGTGAAGCGTCTTCCTGGCAACCTTGAGATCAAACAACTAAGGCACTTTATAGAAGAGTTATGAGCTGTTGAATACACGAACCACACCTATGTATTTTAAACATAGAGCATTTTATTTATTCGCATTTAGCGATATCATGATGCAATGGGCTTTTTTAGCGTAGAAAGAGTAGTGGCAAAACAGGCATTGGTAGTGCAAACGGGTTGGAGCACTCTTTCCGGAATTGGTGAAGTGCAGATCTGAGGCCCGTATGTGGCAAAAAATTTGCACATCTCTCAACATCATTGGTTTATGTCTACAATATGATATCTACAAGAGGTCAAATATAAAGTCTTGTTTGACTATACGCATATCAAGCAAGAATTGCTATACACTATTTCGGGACCTCTCTCTAAATATATTTTTGAGCTTTTCATTAGGCTTGCTGCAAACAGTTATACAGTGCAAGACACGTGTTTCGGCCTTTCAGCCTTGTCAGTTGCATGGTGTCCTTTCGTTTAGTGAGTTAATCAAGGATCTGCCCCTACATAAAGAAATCGACAACGAACTATTTACACTGATTGTTTAACCGTACATCAAGTGTCTATTCGACGATTTGGAAGGCCAAAACACGTATCTTGTATTGTATAAGTGCTCACAAATCCCTCAGGAAAGGCTCAAAATTTATGTCAGATTATAACCAATATCTATCAGATACTGTAATTGACATCGATATCGACTACCAGGCCAAACCGTTGACGGTTGGTCGCTGACAGACCGACGAATGGTAGCACAGAAAGAGTAGTGGTAATGCAGAGAGCGGTAGTGCAAATGGTTAAAAACGCAGTGCACCTCCGGAAAGGGTGAAATGTAGACTCTAGTCCTGTCTGACGTCAAAGTTTTACTGACCACTCAACATCATCAGATATAAACCACACATATTTATTTTCTCTACATTCTCTGCAATTAGTTCGTGAATGGCTTGTAATGCGACGTCAAAAGGTTTGTATAGAGTGCGATAACACAATGAACATAAGATACAAACACCAATGAAAGGCTCCATTGCATACGTGCTTATAGGATAGTCGCGTCATAGATGCTTTAGGGAAACATTAGAGCTTCGCAGACGGGCTTGTCTGAACCTCAGCAACTGCGATAGTATGAGGCTCACAAACATGTTACTTTATCCGTCAGTTCGCCTACACAGCTGGTAATCGCTTCAACCTTGGAGATTGGAAGATCGATACACTCAAGATCATTTTTTGGTTTTGATTTATGCATCGTGATAAGCGTGTAGTGAACGTTATGATTTCAAATCGAATTTGTTTTTCAAGATTTTTCATTCAGTTTCGGTTTTCTTTATATCTCTTTCAAAGAATAGCTGATAAAGGGAAAGATCATGAAGATGTTTCTCTGTTATAACTCACTAATTGATAAGGTCATGCTTTCTAATACATTAATTCCAGGAATTTTGGGCGTACCGTAACCCGGACTCTCCTATAAATTCGTCAAGAGCGGCACTTATCTAATTTATTAACGTTGATTTTTGTTGGCATGATGGATTTTTTAAATTGGCGCCCAATTTGTTCCTTTTTTATACCGAATATGGCCGTAAACAGATATAGATTCAGCAAATGATCTTTCCGAGTGATTATTACCTAACACTGAGCGCAGCAAGATTCTTTGTACACGCATTTTTGCAATAGCGTCTACAACTCTTCTGTGTACTGTGATTGCAAACGCGAAATGATTGACTATGCATGTTCACTATTTTATACGAATACTCTGGTAAGACACACATTCAAATGAAATTCTTATCTTTGATAAAATCAGAAATAACCTTGTGTTGACGCAGCAAAGAAGAAAGTAGGTCTTCGTTTCGTTCGACTGAATGTTCACTCGCGGACTCCCGCTCATAAAATCCCTACACATATACGTATATATATATACATATATATATATATATATATATATATATATATTATATATATATATGATGAGCGGTGAATAGACCGGATGTTAAATGAGGTCGACCATTGAAAAGAAGGTCGTTGGTTTGGTCCTCAC